CTTCCCTTGTTTTTCGCTTTCAGCCCCTCACAAATCTTCATGATGTGTGTAATTTTGCAGGTTCTAGCAAGCAATATGATATTCCTTGGTGTGGTGATCTTTGCGCCCTTCACATTAGGGCGGGTTATATTGTATCATGTGTCATGGCTTTTTGCTGCTGCTAGAGGCCCTGCCCTAACCGCATCAATGCATTTTACAGATACATTAGAAAATATAACTCTGAAGAGTGCATTGAGTTCTGTCTCAAATTTGACCAACGAGGGCCAAGAAAATGGACTGCTTGGTCAGCTCACAGAAATGATGAATGTCAATGGAAGTGAACTGAATGGAGCAAACAATACACTATCCGTTGCTGCTGATCTCTTGAAAGGTTCTGCTGCTGGATCATCAAAGCTATCTGATGTTACAACTCTGACTGTTGGGTACATGTTTATAGTGTTTCTGGTGTTCCTTTACCTTGGGATCATTGCATTGATTAGATATGCCAAGGGTGAGCCACTGACCGTCGGGAGATTTTATGGCATTGCTTCTATTGTAGAAGCTGTACCATCCCTCCTTAGGCAGTTCTTGGCTGCAATGAGGCATCTGATGACTATGATTAAAGTTGCCTTTCTTTTGGTCATCGAGCTTGGGGTCTTCCCCCTGATGTGTGGGTGGTGGCTAGATGTTTGTACTGTTAGGATGTTTGGTAAAACAATGTCCCACAGAGTACAGTTTTTATCCATATCTCCACTGGCAAGCTCACTTGTTCATTGGGTTGTTGGAATCATGTACATGCTGCAAATAAGCATCTTCGTCAGCCTTCTTCGAGGGGTACCGTGTTTTCCTTGCTTGTAATTTTATTCTAGAAACAGGTTTCTTTTGCGCTGCTATCTAATATTTTCTTCCTACTTTTTTGCCAAATGCAGGTTCTTCGCCCTGGAGTTTTGTATTTTCTTCGGGATCCTGCAGATCCTAATTACAATCCATTCCGAGATTTGATTGATGATCCAGTACACAAACATGCTCGGAGAGTTCTGCTATCTGTTGCAGTGTATGGGAGTTTGATTGTCATGCTGGTATTTTTACCAGTCAAACTTGCTATCCGAATGGCTCCTTCAATCTTCCCGCTAGACATATCGTAAGAAATTTTGGCAAACCTCTTGTTTCTGTAAACTTTGTGTTTGAGTAGTCTTTCCTGACGTGTGCATCTATGCAGCGTATCTGACCCATTCACCGAGATTCCGGCCGACATGCTCCTGTTTCAAATATGTATACCATTTATTATCGAGCATTTCAGACTCCGGACAACAATTAAGTCCCTTTTACGCTGCTGGTTCACCGCCGTCGGTTGGGCACTTGGTTTGACAGACTTCCTCTTGCCAAGTCCAGAGGACAATGTTGGTCAGGAAAATGGAAATGGTGAACCAGGAAGGCAGAACAGAGCACCAGTTTTGCAGATTGGTGGACCCGAAAGGGCCATGGCTGCTGCGCTTCCAGCAGTAGATGACCCTAACAGAAGTCTCCTCCGCGCTGGGAATGTCAACACAGGCGAGGAAGATGAAGATGATGAAGAACAATCTGATTCAGAGTAAGTTCTTACTTAAGATATAAGCTAATAACTTGTTTTCCATTATGTCTTCCCCTGATATGAACGTATTTTTTTTAGCAGGTACAACTTTGTGCTCCGGATAATCCTCCTTCTACTTGTTGCATGGGTTACTCTTCTTCTCTTCAATTCGGCATTGATAGTTGTACCAGTTTCACTTGGACGTATTCTATTTAGTGCCATCCCACTTCTCCCAATAACTCATGGCATCAAATGCAATGGTAATGTCTGTTAAATTTGATCTTCTGCTTCATTCTCTCAACGGTTACACATTACTAACCGAATCTTCTACATCTGTAGACCTGTATGCTTTCGTCATTGGCTCATATGCCTTTTGGACTACCATATCTGGGGCCAGGTATGCTATTGAGCATGTCAAGTCAAAGAGGACTTCAGTCTTACTTAACCAAATATGGAAATGGTGTGGGATTGTCTTCAAGAGTTCGGTGCTGTTAGCCATATGGGTAAGTGATTTTTGCTGTTGTCCGTTTGGATTTTTTAGATACTCCAAACTATTTTTTTACTCTGGAATCTGTATTTTCAAAATTGTGACTGAACAGGTTTTTATCATTCCGGTACTAATCGGACTTCTGTTTGAGCTTTTGGTGATTGTCCCAATGAGAGTCCCAGTAGATGAAAGCCCTGTGTTCCTCCTGTATCAAGACTGGGCTCTAGGGCTCATCTTTTTGAAGATCTGGACTAGACTGGTAAGTATTCTTTCTCCCATTTGCAATTTTTGCCGGATAAAAGATATATCTTGTCACTAAAATTACGGCGACAAAATGGACAGGTAATGTTGGATCATATGCTTCCAATAATGGATGATAGCTGGAGAGCAAAGTTTGAGAGAGTAAGAGAAGATGGCTTCTCGAGGCTTCAAGGGTTATGGGTACTTAGAGAGATTGTGTTCCCGATCGTGATGAAACTCCTAACAGCATTATGTGTGCCTTATGTCCTGGCGAGAGGAGTGTTCCCGATGCTCGGATATCCGCTAGTTGTGAACTCGGCGGTCTACAGATTCGCTTGGATAGGTTGTCTCTCGGTGAGCCTCTTCTGCTTCTGTGCAAAAAGATGCCATGTCTGGTTCAGAAACCTTCACAACTCGATCCGTGATGACCGTTATCTCATTGGCCGAAGACTTCACAACTTTGGGGAAGCGGCTTTGGCTAACCAAAACCGAAACCAAAGCAGCGAGGATGCAGGAGACGGTGGTGGTGGTGTCTTGATAGGACGCGAGGGAGATGCTGATACTGGACTTAGGCTCAGACGTGCAATACAACAAGAAGCTTAGAAAGCAATAGTGGTTTTTGTCAGGTGTATGATTACAAAGAGTTGGACACTGTTTACTGTCGTTTAACATTTGTGTACTTGAAGCCGTAAGGGATTGGCTTTGACAGATTTATTATTAGTAGTCGATGTGTAATTATGTCCGTTTATTTCTTCTTCTTGGTGTGTAATATTAAAACTAAAAGATGTTTAGAAAGTTAAAGTCAGTAACGCTTCGTTTGCCAATACATATTTGTATTGGCATTCTCAAATTCGTCATGTCACTAATTTGATCATGTGGTGTATTTTTTCCTCAGTACCGAGCTCCAATAGCCTTAAGTTTACAGTTAAAAGTCTTGTTTTTGTATTTATGTTTCTTTACATGGAATATAACGCATCCTTATTTTGAGTTAATGATTGAAGCTTATTGTTAAAATGATCTTGGCAGGTTTGCAAGCATCGTTTTTCATACTCACGAGTTTATGCTGACAATGCTCCCACAAGGCTTCCTTTCCACGAGTTTGTAGCTGGCATTGCCATGAAAACTTGCCGTGTTTTTCACTTCTTTCTGCGGTTGAGTTTTGTGCTTTCGGTCTGGTTTCTCACTATCCCTTTGGTTACATTTTGGCTTGGCTTTTGTGCGGAGTTTTGGTGAAGCTCAGAGCTTGTTCTTAAGCCACGTCTCCACCACAGTAATCCTCACTGATTGTTTGCACGGGCTCTTACTATCATCTAGTATTTGCTTCATTTTGCTTGGAGCAATTTCATTTTGGAATTACTTTAGGCGTTTGAGAGAGTTGGGAGGACAAGAAGAGAGAGAAGATGAAGGGGAGAGAAATGGTGCTCATGCTGCAAGAAGACCTGCTGGCCAGGCTAATAGGAATCTTGCGGGAGAGGGGAATGGCGCAGAAGTGTTTCATGTCGTTGAGCATGCCTTGATTGTAACTTGATGTTTCTTCTCTTGGTGATGGATATTTTTTAGATACTATTTTCCCTTGTCGTTTGCTTTTGGCCCCTCATAAATCTTCATGATGTGCATTTGTATGCAGGTTCTAGCAAGCAATGTGATATTCCTTGGTGTGGTGATCTTTGTGCCCTTCACATTAGGACGGGTCATATTGTATCTTGTGTGGTGGCTTTTTGCTGCTGCTAGAAGATCTGCTTTGACCACCGCATCAATGCCTTTCACAGATACTGGACTATCATTGGAGAATATAACTCTGAAGAATGCATTGACTTCTATCTCAAATTTGACTAATGAGGGCCAATAAAATGGACAGCTTGGTCAATTCATAGAAATGATGAAAGTCTATGGAAGATAATTAACTGGAGCAAACAAATGCGCTATCCGTTGCTGCTGATCTCTTGAAAGATTCTGTTGCTGGATCATCAAAGCTATCTGATGTTACAACTCTGACTGTTGGATACATGTTCATAGTTTTTTCTGGTGTTCCTTTACCTTGGGATCATTGCACTGTTTCGATATGCCAAGTGTGAGCCACTGACCGTCGGGAGATTTTATGGTATTGCTTCTATTGTAGAAGCTGTACCATCCCTCCTTACGCAGTCTTGGTAGCAATGAGGCATCTGATGACTATGATTAAAGTTGTTCTTAGGCTGGTCTACATGCTTAGGATGTGTGGGTGGTGGTTAGATGTTTGCACGATTCAGATGTTTGGTAAAACAATGTCCCACAGAGTACAATTTTTATCAGTTTCTCCACTTACAAGTTCTCTTGTTCATTGGATTGTTGGAATAATCTACATTTGGCAATTTTTTATATTCCTTAACCTTCTTAAGGAGGAGGTGCCGTGTTCTTGGCTCAAAATTTTATCCTAGAAATCGGTTTTTTCTCTGTTACTACTTAATATTGTTTTCCACTTTTGTGCTGATTGCAGGTTCTTCGCCCTGGAGTTTTGTATTTGATGATCCTGACGATGAGGATGGTTCATTACAATTTTTGGTTGATGATCCAGTACCGAAGGTTGCTCGTGAGACTTTGTTAGAAACTGCAGTGTCAGTGAGTGTTATTTTTGTCAGGTATTTTTACCAGTAAAACTTGCTATAAGGATGGCTCCTTTAATATTCCGGCTTGACATATCGTAAGAAATAATGCCAAACCTCTTGTTTTCTGAGATTGTACTTGAGTAAGTCATTCCTAACTTGTGCATCTTAGCAGTGTATCCGACCCATTCACTGAGATTCCAGCCGGCATGCTTCTGTTTCAAATATGCATATCATTTATTATGGAGCATTTCGGCCTCTGGACCACGATTGGGTCCCTTCTACGTTGCTGGTTCACTGGCGTCGGTTGGGCGCTTGGTCTGACAGACTTCCTTTTGCCAAGACCAGAGGACAACATTGGTCTGGACAATGGAAATGTTGAACCTGACAGGCCCATGGCTGCGCTTCCAGCAGCTGATGATCATACTAGAAGAAGTCTCCTCTGCACTGGGATTGTCAAGACGGATGATGAAGAACAGTCTGTATCATTATCTGTGCCTATATTTGATTTCTTATACTACTCTGATATAAAATATGTTTGGTTTTTGAAGAAGATATAGATCGAAGTGTGTCAATACATATTTTCATGACTGCATCCTCATGTACTTAAATACACTTGGTAACAAGAAAGTTGAGCTTTTCAAGTTGTTGGATGATTGCAAAGGGCTACCGGCGCTGGACATCAATGTCAGTAAAACAAGTCATTATGTACAATTTGAGCAACAAGTTAAACTTATTTCTAATGGACATAGAATACGAGAAGGAAATATTTGCTTTATGTTGGTGTTGCTCTCAAGGCATGATCTTAGCGGCTCTAAAATTATGTCTTATAATCTTTGGGGGTTTGAGATTTGTGTTTTCTTTTAGATATTTTTTGTTCCTCTGTTTGTGATATCTTGTGTCTTTTCTTAAATTTTTATTTTTTTGTGAAGCTCAAAATTACGAGAAAC